AGATTTGTGCCCAACTGTTGACGGACGGACGCACGGATGGACGGACGCACGGCACGCACGCTCATGCGATTCTACAAGCTGCATCTGACTATGTCAGATGAGCTAAAAACCCGCGAGTAAGAACCTGCATTTTCCCAAGTTAGCCTAAACAGGTTCTTACATAAATGGTACTAAGCACAAATTGAGGCTTTTTAGGTTCTTAAATAAGTTCTTATTTTCTAAAGAAAAAATAACATTGTAGCTAATAGAATTTAATGGTATTCAGCCTATTCCTTATATAACATCTGCATACCATGTAAGTATTTATGAAGAAATTAATGAAAAAAAATTAAGCAAATGAATTTTTACGTTCTTCTTCATAACATAACATTATATACTGTGTACCTGTAATACCTAGTCCAACTTACAGTAACCTCTAACAGAGTATTAAATCCTCGTAAAATTATTATAAGGTAAAATACAGCACTGTACAATCTTAACATTTTACCTCAACTATGGAATAAATTTGGTCATTCAAAAATATCTATACTTTTATCTTTCTCTTTGCTATAACATCAGAGTGAAATCCACCACACCCTTCTGATACTAATTACGTATTCACCTATTGGATGGATTACATAGATATTCCCTAATAATTTCAAGTCCAATATTTTAGAGGATAGTATGTACAAGTAAAACTCATAGTCAAGTCTCCTTGAGGTTTGACCAGGTCATCATCAGTGCCATCTACAGTAATGAGACATCCAGTTTTCTGGAACAGTTTCTGAAAAAGCTAGTGAGGAGGTTGAACCATATAGAATGTCTTAATATCACTGAAATCAAGAAATGCCAATCATAACTTCATATACAGTCAGCAGATACTGCTTATGATAATTATTGGTGCTGTTTACTGTATCGGATACAATCATGTGCTACAGTGGAAACTACATTTTACTGCAAGGAACACCCTCTTAACGATGCGAACAATGAGAACAACCTAACCATAGATTTATTGTTAAAGGACCTAACCCAAATGTTTTTCATACGGTATGGTTCCCCTGGTTCGAATGTTCATCATTCTACATACTCTTCCATATGCTGATGTGTAGCCATGGAGATATAAACAATATATATACAGTATTTATGTGTAATTGCAACAATAACAATTCTATTTGATTTTCAACATTGGCGTTTAGAGTGTATTAAATTGGAGTGATAAGGCACCTGTCTCCAAAAAGAATCCAAAATGTTGATCTATCTTATTCGCCCAATGTACTCATCTTTTTATATAGATTTTAGAAAATAAGAACCTGTTTCAAATTTTGGGCTAAACATGTTCTTGTATGGAGGGGGTATAACTGGCAAATTTTAGCCTAGCAGGTTCTTAAAAACTAGGTTCTTACTCGCGGGTTTTTAGTGTATATAATATCAGGAGTAGATAATAGGGAAGGAGTGTGACATCAATAAACAAGGGAAATTCGTCATTTACTAGCCTTATAATACCTACGATTTACTACGCGTAACTCATCCAACTTGAGCTCAAATCGTACACAGTGCATTCGCCTAGCATCGTGCAAAATCGTTTCCTCGTATACACAAGCAATCCGGAGATACAGACTAAAACGTACAACACGATTATCCATTCTTTGGCCATCAATCCGAGCCGATTGCCCGCCTATATTCAAACAACAGGCAGCTACCTATAACCACAGCTTGCTAACTCGGCGGGCAATGTGGCTCGCTGGGAGATTTGAGCCTGATCTGCTTCTGATTGCGGTTGGCGTGCGTGCGTGGGGGCATGCCAGCTGTATGCCGTTATGCCGGTATGTAGCTGTGTACCGGGTCAAAGGTTATCTCGCCGAGTGTTGCGTTGATGCCTAATCTCCCAGCGAGCCACATGCCTCGCCGAGTTAGCA